CAGCTCAAACTTTCTCCATAGCATAAGGACATTGATATACATCAAAAAATGTAATAAAAATTTGGGGTGATTTCGGAGCCAATTTTTTGGAAAAAACCATGGGCTATAGCCTTGGGTATTTTTCAAAAAAAATTGGCCCATTTAAAGAAATGATCATAACTCAAAAATTATTTGTCAGAAACAGCTCAAACTTGCTACACAGCATAAGGACATCAATATACATCATAAAAATTTGGGGTGATTTTGGAGCCATTTTTTGAAAAAAAAACCATGGGCTATATCCTTGGGTATTTTTTAGATTTTGGCAAATTTCTTAAAATGGCCGTAACTCAAAAAATTGAACTCGGAATCAGCTCAAACTTGCTATGTAGCATAAGTACATCAATGTGTATCAGAAAATGTAATAAAAATTTGGGGTGATTTCGGAGCCTTTTTTTTGGAAAAAACCATGGGCTATAATAGCCTTGGGTATTTTTCAAAAAATGCTAATAACTCAAAATTATTTGTCAAAAACAGCTCAAACTTGCTACACAGCATAAGGACATCAATATACATCATAAAATGTAATAAAAATTTGAGGTGATTTCGGAGCCATTTTTTGGAAAAAACCATGGGCTATAGCCTTGGGTATTTTTCAAAATTGGCCCATTTTTTAAAAATGCTAATAACTCGAAATTATTTTTTGGAAACAGCTCAAACTTGCTACACAGCATAAAGACATCAATATACATCATAAAATGTAATAAAAATTGGGATGATTTTGGAGCCATTTTTTGGAAAAAACCATGGGCTATAGCCTTGGGTATTTTCAAATTGGCCCATTTAAAAAATGATTATAACTCAAAAATTATTTGTCGAAAACAGCTCAAACTTTCCACTTAGCATAAGAACATAAATATATATCAGAAATGGTCCACTAGACTGACTAAATTAAAATGTACATAATATAAATATGTGTCTATGTGTGTACTACATACTTTAAACGGTCTTGTCTCTTGTCTTCTAGTGAACCTCATTACTAACAGTCCAACAAAGACCAGTCCATAGAATACCCACATGAGAGTAGTGAGGCCATCAATCAAATGACCAATACTACCAATTACTATGAGCAGACAGGTCAAAAGACCCTAATATCCAAAAAATAGTATAAAAAATAATACAAAAAAATAATTTCTTTAAATTTACTATAGCATATTCCACGACAATTTTTCAGTCATTAATTACAGTCTATCTGGGAATTTTTTACTGTGATTTTAATTTTACTGGATTAGAATTTTGCAAGAACTAGATCACCCATATAATTAGATGCCACATTTAATAATACATGACACAGTCTAATGTAGTAAAAATTATATCACAGCACAGTTTTTAAACACAAAAATTATCTACCATACAATTTTCCTGATTTACGGTACTACATGTACCGCATTTTCTTAATAAAAAGCTGGGGTGTCTATTTCTTAAAACTGTATTTGGACATTAAAAAAATTTTTTTTAATAAAATTAAACTTGGGCCAACAGCGGGATTCAATCCAGTGTCCTCACACACATACACATGTAACTTCAGGAAGATTAAGGAATTACCAATGCTATTTTAAGGCTAGATTTGTGTATTTATAGTTAAATTTTATTGCTAACTAGGGCTTGGCAAATGTTTAAATTTTTGCCTATTACACTNTTAGGCACAGCTCCAAATTCCATCCTAATATGCTTTGAAATCCAATTATGCTCATTATATGCTCATAGTTTTAAGCTTTACTCAAATATCAACTACCGGTATCAAGTTACATGTACATGCATCTGTTAAAACTGTAATAATGCCAGAATTTTTCCAGTGATTTTGAGTCAATGGAAAATAGAATAGTCTAAGTCATTGGACTGGCCACACTTACATAGATGGGTACTAGCCTAGACAGTAGGGCTGTTGTACTAGCTAGTACTTGTACCACCTGCCACATTGAATTGAGATCATGTGGTCAGCCAGAAACTTTGACTCGTTATGCTCCAATAATGCCAGCATGCTACTACAATTTGCCTAGCCCTATTGTTAACCTGGCATTTATTCACATTCGGCTTTTATTTAAAGATATATGGTATACCTGTACTATTAGTGCCATGACTGGTGTCTGGAACTTATTGTGAAGCAAACTTAGTGTTTCAATCAAGTTCCCATCCCTGGCAGTGGTATACATTACCCTAGAGCCAGCATAGACTGCACCAGTGGCAGCTCCAATGGTTGAGACTGCTACCATCAGTGGTATCAGGACAAGACCAGCATCACCTATTGTAGACTGAGCTAACGTCTAGAAAATACAGCAAATAAAAAAATAAGGCAATTAATAACTCTTAATACTGTACAAGATGATTTATTGGCGAGGAATTAATATTGGCGATTGGCAGTTCTATGAAGAAATCGCCAATATAAAATCCGCCAATTTGTGTTAAACTGAGCATGCTCAATGGCACATGACACACAATCGCTAATATAAAATCAGCCAAATTCTTTCCACAGGCAAATTCGCCAAATATTACTCTCGCCAAGAAATCATCTTGTATGGTACGACATGTACATGCTCAGGGTTATTAGTTAATATATTCACTTGACAAAAACTATTCTAATTTCTAACTTTGATAAATTTGAGGAGACACTAAATATTTTATTTTTAGTCTCTTACGAGTGCAGTGGCAGGTGAAGAGAGGACTTGACTTTTGCTCAAGCCAGCGAAATAGGCAATGTTAACGAGAACATAGCAACCAGTCACACAAGGGACTCCAAGAAATATCCCAAGTAATAGATTCCTACATGTAAGCACAACTTTTTAATATTGCATTGAGACATGTACTGTATAGCAGGGGATTTTGGAGGTAGTTAAATTTGGTGAATTGCTAAATTTTGATGATTGGAAAATTTTAATCTGACAAATTTGTGGCCATGTGCCATTGAGCACGCATATAATAGCTCAAAATGGTGGATTTTTATTTTGGCAAATGGCTATCAAAACGCCAAATTTGCCAAATTTAATTCCCTCCGAAATTTCCTGCTATATAATATTCTTATCATACCTTTTCACATTCTTGTTTTCTTCTACAGTATAACCAATCCCATTCCTAATAAAATATAATTATTAATTTTATAAAGTACAAAATAATTCCTGTGTAATGTAACTTGCATACTGACAATGAATCATAATAATTATCATGATTCATAAACTATAGTTATTCTATACATGTACATGCTCACATAGCTGCTTTAAGTAAAGGAAGGGAATGAGAAAAATGATTCACAGTAAATATACATCAAAGAGATAATACTACACAACATACCATCCTTCATAGGAGAACAATACTGAGTAGAAGGCTAGTACAATCTCACCAACACAAGGATTGGTATCTTCAAAAGATGACGTCAAATTATGACTATGATCTAAACACAAAAACAAAAATTAAAATAATAAATTAAAAAATAAAAATTAAATAAAATAATGATTACATCACAAATATAATGAAAATAATTATTTCTATCAGCAGTAGTCTACCTCCTTTAATAAGTTGCCATACTCCAAGTCCTGTGATAAATATAAGTGCCAACACTTTAGCAACTGATGTGATATTAATGAGCATTGCTGTAGCTTTAAGACTGTAAGCATTCACCAAAGAAATAAAAACTACAAGAAAAAGAGACTGTATCATTTAAGACTAATTGTAATAGACAATAATACAGGTCATATTATGCTAATAGAGCTGGATCAAAAGTAAATGTGACTTATTATGTTAAAACGGCATTTGAAAAATAATTAAAGCCACTATATACATTGCACTATATACCGTATAGAGGATAATTTTGGAGGGGCTAAAATTTGGTGAATTGCTAAATTTTGGCAATTGGCGGATTTTTAATTTGGTGAATTTGTGGCTACGTGCCATTGAGCATGCATATAATGGCTCAAAATGGC